TGAATGCATGCATACAGTAATGCACGCAAAAAAGCCTACATGCACGCACTGATGAATGCTTGCAGGATGAACGCATGCATGCGCTAACGAATGCGTGCATGCAAAAATACATGCGCAGATGCATGCATGCAATAATGCACGCGCTGATGCATGCATGCACTGATGCATGGACGCACTGCTGCATGCTTGCGCTGATGCATGCATGCGCACAACAATGCATGCACTCGTGCACGGATGCGTTTACTAATGGGGGTAGAACGAACAAAATCTCCGTCACGTGCTGTGCAATTCAGCCGGTGGCGACTCGATGCACAGTGCGAGTCCTATATCACTAATTGTGAAAATGTATAGATAAGGAGGTGAATAAAGCAGATAGATCACTCTATAGGCATTTCAATGTCTCTGCATGCATGCATGCATGCGTGCATGAAAACATATTGGCGTCTACCTAAATTATAACGGCAGTGTGGAGTGAAGTACATATTCACGGCCTCCTGAGCTGCATTTGTTTGTTGTTGATTGGTTTAAACCCCAAGAGCGTTCTTCTTCTTTCTTCCTCTTCTTTGCATACGCCACACCGCCTCCCGCATGCATGCACATTCAGCAGAAGCCCCTAAACGAGGCAAGCAGAGAGAAATGCAGGTGGTCTCGAGAAAGCAAAGGTCTTTCCAGGCGTAGAGGGAAAAAGCAGAGATCAGCAGCCGCGCTGTATTTGCAGCTGCGGTGTATGTGCAGCTGCAGTGGATGTGCAGCTGCGGTGTATGTGCAGGTATCCAACGTTTCGCGATGAATCGATGATGAAATATTTTCCTGTACAGTCGCGAATACGAAATAAATTGCAGATAGTTGAATTATTTTTACATTTTCCTTCTTCTTCTGCAGTCAACGAAGGGAATACAGCCCCCAAGACTACCGAAGCAATCTTTTAAAGCTGCAGTCGCCGATTGCGGTGATGGGCTAACGAAGAAGAATGTGAGAGCTGCAGCGATCAATGAAGGCACCCCTGCACAAATCATCATTGGGCATAATCCCCAGTTCGCTAGAGCCATCTTCATAATATAAATACCCCCTACAGCTCCTACTTTACCCATAGCCGCCGATATACCGGCGTAAGTAGAACGAACTGAGGGCGGGAAGACGACAGAAGGAAGAATAAAGGTGGTGATGCTGGCCCCCCAATTGATGAAGAAGTTGACAACTGCGAGCAGCGCTAGCTGGGCCCAGCCGCATCCCTCAAGTGCATGGGCTGCAGCAGCAAGCAAGAAGGCAGAGCCTGCTAAGCCTACAAAGCCCCAGAACTGGAGCCACTTTACTCCCATTTGTCTCAGCACGAGGATCCCCATATAACACCCTGGAATGCCTATTGCATTTAGAAGGATGTTCTGTTTTATTACGTCTTCTACTACTGTCTTCTTCCCCCATATTAACTCCGTTATCTCCGGCTGAACAAGCAAAATACCGTAAGCTGTAACATCATATAATAACCAGCAAACCCCAGTGCCTAGCAGCTGCCTCCAGTATGCACGCTTTACGAAAACATGCAACAACTTGGAGGCGAAGTTCGGGTGTACGTACTCCCGCGAGTCTTTTAGTCTCCAAGCAGGAAGCCATACAAGAAATGCAGGAACAGCACCGAAGCACAGCAATACTCGAAAGCAAACTTCAACAGAAGCTGAGCTCCACCACCACAATAGAAGAGCGAGGACATAGGGAAAAAGAATGCCTGGGACATTCATAGAATACGCCCATGATACTCGCAAACATCTATCATCTTCTTTTATAGAGTTCGAGCCCTCCGCAGCTGTAACTGCACTTAAAGGATATACTCCGCCGGACCCAACTCCTAAAACAAAACGAAATACCCCTAAAATAATCGTTACAGATAAAGCAGAGCCCCAAGAGAAAACAGCAGAGCCTAAGGCGCCGAAGGCAACGAGAAATAATGTGCAAATCATTGCTAAACGACGCCCTATAAGGTCCCCTAGATGACCCATTATACACATTCCTGCTATAGCGCCCGCGTAAGATAGCATCTTTATGGTTCCGTTTCCTACGACAGACTCCAGTGTCTGCCTATACACCGGATCTTGATTCATCAGAAATAAAGCAATTGACGTCACTACAAAGTTGTAGTTGCTAGAAAAGACAGCTAAACACGGAACCAACAAGCTCTGCCGCTTTGCTGTTTCTCCCGCTGCGCCTTCTGCTGCCTCCCCTGATGCAATACTCAGGCTCTGGCGAGAATTCCCGGATAAAGAAACCTCCGATATATCCTCATTCTGTGCTGCTGCATCGCGTGCTGCTGCAGACGCGTTTGCTGCAGTGCCTTGAGATAGCTTGCTGCCCTCGGCCCAGCCACAAGTGCTGGTAACCTCCTCACTCAACATTTTCCCTAGAGGGGGAGACATCTTTAAAATAAAGGCGTCCTGAGCAGAACTTGAACCCGAATTCGTCTTCGGAGTGTGAGCCTCAGAGAGAGGACCCCCGGCCTGGTCCTCCGTCGTTGCGGGGGTTGTGCTGCGGGAGGTGTCTGCTGCAGCGGCTGCAGTAGCAGTAGCAGCAGCAGAAGCAGAAGCAGAGGGGGCCGAAGGTAACTCTAGAACAGAAGAAGGAGGAGGAGGAGATAAAGAAATGTTGCTGTTGCAATCTGGCTGCTGCGTCGGGGGCGGATGCTGTTGCTGCTGTTGCGGGTTTTCCTGAGAAGGCGAGGGAGCAACAGGTTGGGTACTTCGGGTGTCTCGGGGGGGGGATGATGGATTAATATTATCAGAAATGCAGGAAGAAGTGGGCGAGGCACGCCCAGAAGAAAGAAATGCCATGGGTATTCTTATTCAACTCAAGAACAAAAGAAATGGATGTTCTTGTTCAACGAAGAGGGAGCAGAAAGCGGCAGCAGACGCGCAACTCGCGGTGGCGCACGGAGGGGAAACAGGCGAGAAAAAAGAAACTCATGAATTGTTTTCCTCTTAAAACATAAATTAACAAAGGAAAAGAAAAATACATAAGTTTATACCCTCTTCCATGCATACTAAGCAAACAACAGCACCCAGAACTCACTCGCGCATCATCATCATCTGCTGCGGTGTATGTACACCAGCGCCGACACGCAAACCCAACAGCTTTCTGCAGATTTCCCAGATACTTTTGATTTCACCTGTGTAAATATACTAACATTTCAAGCAGAAAGTTATTTATTTAAACACCAAACACACCCCAACACATACTACCCCACCCACAGGCCCTACTTTTCTTATTCGGCAGCAGCCCTCCACTGATCGCGGTTTAGGGTTTAGGGTTTATTATACTGAGTGTGAAATTTGTATATGAGTGTTTTTTAATGAATAAACTCTGCCTGTTCACAACCCAACGGAGGGAACGCCCCTCCCCAAGATCTCCTTTTTTTAGCTCTTCTTCACAGTACTCCTTTTCATTTATGGATATAAGCATAGCCTGTGTTTTATCTTCATTTTATATTATTTGTCTGCAGAAAATAGTGTCAGCTGTTTAGCGTTTGCTTTTGCCCGTTGGTCTAGTTGTTGTCTCCGTTTGCTTTGGGCACATGTTTCTCTGTTGCTGCTGCATCTTCGCTGGTTCTGTATTGCGGGGCTTTTTGTTTTGTTCGTCTCGCATCCTAAACAAACAAAAGCAAAACAGTTGTTAGAAACAGGAAAAAGGGTTTTTAGGGTTTAGGGTTCAGGGTTTAGGGATTCCGTGTTTGTCTGTTAGAGTTACTGCAGCAGTCGTGCAGGTGAAATCTGGAGAAGGACAAAGAGAGACTAGCAAAAGAAAAATATAAACACATGAATTGGGGGCATTGCATAAACTGCTATAAATGTACAAATGCAAAAGGCAATAAACAACCCCTTGAAGCTGATGAATGAATGACACCTACTGAGCTGAAAGACGAACAAAACTGCAGAAGATGTTTTAAGTATCCAAGTGTAAAAAAACACTGCTCCGCTGAGGGAGACGCAGAGACAGCATTACCTGCATGCAGCGAGCACTTCTGAGAAGAATCTCTTCCTGCTGCTGCTGCTACAGCTGCAAATCTGAGGGAAGCAAAACAAAAAAAAAGACGAGACAGAGGTGGCGCTCTCCCAGCGCATCCTGTTGCCTATTATTTGGTTCTGTGTCCGAAACAAATTCAACGCTTGAATACAAGTATATATACATATGCATATATATATGTATATATATATATATATATATATATACATATGTACAAACATGTATATACATGCATACGCATTTATATGCCTTTATGCATTTTCATGAATTTTTGTACCTAGGTAGACTCATATTCATATGGGTTTACGTACGTTGATTTATATCTAGATTTGTTTAAATATACACTCTGTAAAACTCAGTGAGAACGAGCAAATATAGATTTGTGCGCATTTAAACAAATATGAATATTAATCTGTCTCTTCATCTGCATGCATCCCCGCAGCAAACATCTAAATCAGAGACTTGAATCGCTCCGCAGCTGTTACAAAAAAAGAACTAAAACAACGAGTTTATGCATTTGCGGGTTGAGGGCCCTCTAAAAGCACTATCCGAATGAAATCCACATATAAGAAAACTTGAAAAAAATTTCATTAAATTCTTTTAACGCCAAATGCCAATACTATCTACACAGACACCGAGAGAGCATGCACTCTCAATTGCATGCATTCTTAACTGCATGCATGCATGCATGCACGCATGCATGCACATTATCCCGCCGCACATGGCTTGCGGCCCCACGGATTCTGGTATCTGCTATAGTAGTGAGGTGTCTGTACACCTCAGAATAGAGCGAATACAAGCAGACAAATTAAACTCTTATCACACAGAGGTAGCTGCAAAGAAATGAAGACGATGGGTCTTTCCTTTCCTCTACGATAAGAGAGAAAGAAAGCCCAGAAATGCTGCTGCTGCTGCTGCAGCTGCTTTGGCTGCCTCTTGAGATGCAGCTGCCGCCACTCTTGCTGCAGCAGCTGCTGCGGCCAGAGTGGCGG